TCCTGCTGACTTGGCCGAAAGATTTGCAACCCATCAGTAATGTCAGAGTGGATCTGGCCTTAGTTGGGTGCCCTGCAAAAAGATACAACCAGCATATCCCATGGGGAGATGGGAGCTGGGCTAATCGCTTTCGTTCCCTCTCCTCTTGCTACCAGTTGGCAGACAGAGTGCTGCTGCTGCTTGAAAGAAAGGTTTTAGATGGGATGACAGGCTGTCAATGAAATACACCTAAAATGGATGAGCTGACTACCCTTCTCCTGAAAACTCAAAAGGCATACAGGCCCTGGGAGTGAAACATCGGACTACCGTATTTTGAAGAAACCTTTCAATGTTCAACAAGAAGAGTAAATGGAAAAACTGTGAAAGAAACCAGGCCACAAAGAAAAGCCAAACACTTCAAACCCCAAGGACAGCAGGCTGTATGGGTCACATTTGGAGGTACAGGAGCTGCTATATCGCTGCGGCAACAGTGACTCTGCACTTGCTGCAGCGAACTGTGGTCATGCCTGTGTAAGAAGTTACTGCTTGCTGCTGTCCTCTCAGGAAAGAGAAAAAAGTGAAAATGCTTTCGACTTGGCAGGACCAAGCGACTCAACAGAAGACAACTCAGACCTAGGATATGTTAAAAGACACTGTGTTCCAAGCAAGTCCAGGGTCTGATCTTCTCGAGCAGAAGGAAGAAAGTGCCAGCGCACATTTCCTGTGCATGTGCGTTATTAAAGGAAACTCCAGCTGATAAGATGGAGATACTGTTGAATCTGCATTAAGAGCCTAAAAACATTATCATGTTTGTATGGGCAAAAATACATTAGCCGATGACAGGGGATATGCCTTTTAACTCCATTCTGCTGCTTAATTTGCACAGTGAATAAAACAGACCAGGGTTTGTATTTCCTCCTGGGCTGGGCAGGGGACTGCGCTTGCATGCCAGTAGCTCAGGCTGTCCCCTCTGAGCACCGGAATGCTGCAGTATTGCATTCCTTGATGCACACAGCACAGAGAAATGTGGAAAGGAGGATCCCTTTCTGCTAACAGTGCATTTCATGTTTTATCTAGCGTGGTACCATACCAGCTGGCTCTTCACGTCCAGCTGCACTCCGTGTGTCTTTGCCAGACCTGGGGAGGGGGCAGAGGAAGTAATCCTTCCTCTCAGCCTCGTGTCTGCAAAACCATTGGCAGCCATGTTTTTCTGCCAGGAAAAATGCTTAGTGATTCTGCGGGGCTGCTGCCCTTTTCCCAGGATCTCTCCACCCTTCAGCATATCGGACAGACACCAGCAACCCCCACCGAGCAGCAGTTCACACGAAGCAGCTAGTGTAGGTCCAGATTCTGTCTTCAGTCTTTTTACAGCTGAACGGCACTGCTTCAGCAGGGACAGGGCTCTTCACCTCTGCACAGAAAGCAACAGGATG